CCCCCCCCTTGGCCTCAAGTATATAATATGTATATAACTGTAAAAAAAGATATATATATATATATAGAGATAGTTCGATATTTGCCGGGTTTCTGACCCCAACTGCTGTGGTTGTGGTGATCCCACACCTCCACCTCCATGTCACACCCAGGTGGGTGGAGCGATTGAGGGAAAGCCTGGAGCCTGCGCTGGCGGTGGACACCGCACAGCAAGAAGAGCAGCTTGACGGACAGATGGAGCACCCCGAAAACAGTCCAAGGTGAGGACAGCTGTATCACATCTTGGAATTGAGGATGGTTGCGGTGATTACTACCCCACACGCTAAAAAACGCATCGCATGTGGTTGGAAAAGGCCCCATTGCACCTCTTCAATCATGAGATCCTTACATAGCGTGGCAAAAGCAGTTGTTCCAAGCTTGCTGGGTTGCTACCCCTGAGACTCATTCTACCCCATTAGCGGATGTTCTGGGTCTGTCGGTTTGAACACCCCGAGGTTGGACGCCGGCTACGCGGCTGCCCTTCAAGTGGCAGAGGGAGATGCGGTCGCCGCGGCAGAGCGAAGTAAGAACTTCACCTTCTTGCCCGCCAATCCGCAGTACGGAGCGGGCGAACGCGATCAAACGCGGACGTTCCCAACAGTGCCGGTCAGAGGGTGCACACAGAGTGCTGGGAGCTGGCTGCTGCAGGTGGATTAGTCAATTGATGTTAACTGTATAATACTTTCGAACGTGAGATGGCAGCCCCAAGTCAGTAGGATGACAAGTTGGCACTAAAGGCACCTGACCAAAGTGTACAACACCCTCATCCATTGGTGCAGGGGATTCCAGAGGGAGGTTCTGAAGTGCTGGTGACTTCACGCTACATCCAGGTGTGTTGGATTCCACGGACTACACCTCACACATCCCCCATGACCACGGACCGTGGCCGCAGGACAGCGCCGCCGGACCTTTGATGAAAGTTCCTTCCAGGCGGCGAATGCTGTGGAGATCAAGCGTGGCGAGCCCTTCACGGCAGCTGGGCCGCGTGAGGGTAGGGCGGTTTCACCAAGTGGCCCCTGAAGGCGAGACCCACGCAGTTCCAGCTTCTCGGGCTCCCCAAGGGCACCTCCCATCACCTTCACCAAGGGCCACCGGCGCCTGCAGGGCCTGACCTCTGAGCCCACCTCCCAGGTGTCCTCATCCTTCACCTTTCAGGTGTCTCCAACCAGTCCACGCGCACTTCTACCCAACGCAAAGCGGTTTTTCAGATCTGTCCTGTCTCAGTCGACCGGATCCGCCCATCGCCTCGCCTCGCCTTTACTCCGCTCGCCGGCTCGCCGCGGCGTCCGGCGCTGGGCCGAGGATCGGAAGTCCACCTTCCAGGCCTTTGCGGCGAAGGTCTCCCACCAAGGCCAAGTGAATTGGGTGCCTTGGAAGGTCGGAACCGGAACACGGAAGGGGTGGAGCCTAGGCGTCACCGGACCGGCCCGAGAGGTGAAAAACGGAACCGAGGAACGGGCGAGCTGTTTGGAAGTAGGGCGACCAGTTGGCTGAGGGTGGAAGGTAAAGAGCGAAGAATAGTCCTGGGATGCGCTGGGAGGAGAGAAACTATAGACAGACTGAAAGGGATACTTATGCCTCAGCTATACCCTATCCAATAGGCCTCAAATGGCCTCAAAGAAGAAGTAGATCATTCAGCTTAAGGATGTCATTTGAGGATAGTTTAACATTCTACCTGGACCCTCCTGGCCAGGCTGTTAGTTGAGGGTTGTTGGACCCTAACAGGTCTCCGGTCCGGTCGGTGGGTGTACGGCGATGGCGTCCTCCCACGTGTCGGAGTCGATGGGTCAATAATTGATGGACCCCAACTAAGGGAATTCGTACTGAAATCAGTACTGAAATCATATTGACCCAAACGCTCCTGGACCCTCATATGGAGGGGTCGGACCCTCATATGGAGGGGTCTGGGGTCTCAAATCCCTATGGTTTTGAGGGACCAAGGGCTGTTTGGAGCGTTTGGGGAGTGGGTTTTTTGATGTGTTGTTTTTCATGTTTTTTCGTCCTCAGATTTGATTTGTTGTCCTTCTTCCAGGGGGTCGGAACGCCGGCGGTTCGGTCTCTCCAATTGAATTGATTGGTTTTGAGCTCAATCTCGTCCCTTCAACTGAGTGCCCTGAAGTGGATCTAGTGTGTGAGTGGCTGGGTGCGTCCAGCTCCAACTCCCTTAGGCCAACAGAAATTGGTGTGAGTTTTTGCCTGCATTCCAATATAGGGATACCTCCTTTCCCATCCGTTCCCAATATAATTGGACTGGTCTATCTTCCCGATCCTTCCAACAATTTCTTGCGGGGGGTTCGGTCTCCCTGTTTGATTTGCCCCCAACAATCTACCCAAAACCTCGTGGCCTAGGTCTTGAGAAGCTTGTTGGAGGATCGGAAGATCGCTGTCGCGACGCACAACATCTTCGCGTACAGGCGCGCGGGCTTGCCGATGGCGGGCGCGACGAAGGAGACGAACACCCGGTTCTTTGAAGGAGTTTGCCCAGAAGATTTCAGGTAGGGAATAAGGGAAGTTTCGCCCCCAATAGAGATTCTATTGGATCCATTCCCTCATTCCCTGCGAGTCGCACCAGTCAGTTTAAGAATGGACTTCTGAGCATGTCCCCGGTCCTTCGGTGCTGTTTTTTGCCGTGTTCGTCCCCAACCACCGCCGACCTCCTGGTCGCCCGAGCGACTCTCCCAGGTTTCGTGACGAAGTCCGTGGGATCCAGGTGGCCGACAATGAGGACGATGGCGAGGACGGGAGCTCTGATGGGCTCTGTATGGTGTGGCAATGTCGTTTTTGGTGCCATGTATGGTGTATAGTCTTATGTTGGAACCGCATGGATCTTGAGGCTTGAAAGATAGTCTATTCTTCACTGGACAAGGATCTGAACGGGAGTCTGACTGGGAAGTTGGACCTCCACTCAGCTCAGCTCCTCAGCTGGGCTTTTCGACCTGCAGCAAGTGGTTTGTTCTTTGTTCCTCACCTCTCCCAGTAAGTCAATCCGTTGTCCCCAGCTCAGAGAGCTGCAGCTGGGTCGTTCAAGGGGACCTCTTGATGATCCACTCCTCCGCTGGAGCCCAGAACATCCGAAACAGTCCGAAACACTCGAGGGGGATGTTTCAGACATACTTGATCCCAGCAGGATCCAGCGCACAAATGAGATCACCAGTGGTGATCGGTGTTTTCAGTCCAGTCAGAATCAACCACAGTCTATGTAGATTCCGCTGTGCATCAAAAAGCCCTCACTCCGTGGAAAAAAACACTTGGCGGCCGATATTAACAGTCGTGATTGGGGGGTGTCTCACAAAGATCCCACAAAGATAGATGATGAGTACAAAGTGCGTTTCACTTGCAGCAGCGAACATGGCCTGCTCTCCTTGCCCAAAACGGCAAACGTGAGGTTCCTTGCACAATGTTCCAGCCGTATACTCATACTCTAACGTTTCCTGATGAGAGTTACAGTAAGCGCTCGAACTTCAGTCATACCTCCTCCAGTTCGGTATGGGACCCTCCTTCAGTCATACCCGCCCTCCAACCGATTCGTTTCGGTGCGATGCTGTTCACAGGGTCGAAGCTGTCGCGACAGGATGGTGCCGGCTCCAAGCTGGCAGAGCTCTTGCAGCTCTCCGACTCAGAGGTGTGCACGAGCCGCTCTCCCATTCGTCGGTTTGCCCAGATGCTCCAGGTCTTGCACATTGACCCCGAAAATTAAAAAGCACCCCAATGTAGGAGTGTTTGAGTGTTTTACCATAGCACCCTATACCATACATAGAGTGTTTGAGTGTCTGGGTTTTGTTTTCTATTCTTTTTTTGGGGGCGTCGATGTGACAAAGCACAGGTAAGGAGAGGTAAAATTCACCCTAGCGCTCCAACTATCTCCTGACAAGGTGCTCGAGAATATGGTTGGAACCCCAGGGTTCTTTCAAAGGACCACCCTGCCCTGGCATGTTTTGACTCACACATATCCTCCTCCAATTACTTTGGAGGGGCCAATGTTGGGCATTTGTTTGGTGACCGGCAGGATGTCTTGGTGATGGTGAGCCGCTGGTATGGAGGCATCCACTTAGGCGGGGCTGTGGGGTCGAACGATGGGGAAGCTGGCTGAAATTGGTTTTCTGTGCTTTGGGCTGTCGGTATGTTGGATGTGAATGTTTGTTCTGTAGACTTCAATTCTGGCCTCAGATGCGCTTGCTCATAGCTTTTGATGGCTGTGTCCAAAGAATGGACATCCTTCAAGAACCAAAGCGTCTTGACAAAAGGTATGGAGGGATATGGGTTCGCATCTCCAGGTTGATTCACACCGCCGGGGGTTGTGCTTTGGGTGTTTGTATCTTTGAACCTGAATGAAGTTTCATTGGTTTGGAGCTCCGATCCTGCAGCAATCCGAGGCCCGTAGGGCCGTAGGATCGGATCATCCCTGGTTGACATCCCAAACGCGGTCCCATGACATGTCCCAAACGCGGCGCCTACTTCGCTAAGCTCCCAGGGAATGGTGAAGCTCCACCTGGATCCATCGGGCGACCTGTCCAGACCTGGCGCTGCTTCGCAGGCTCCGACCGCTTCAAACACATCTGCCGCGCCGCGGCGGCGCTGTTGGACGAGGCTGGCTGGACCGGGCGCAGCCAAGGCGAGGACGACCGGTGTGTGTGGGGGGGGGAGGACGGGGAGCAGGAGGAAGCCAAGCCTGTGATTCAAGGTGAGGTGTCTGGATATGGGTGTATAATGGTGTACATATAATTAATATAGTACAATGTGGTTTGATACGTTGATATTTAAACATGCAGGTCATCATGTGTGGGGCCCAAGACCTAAGGGATGCTCTCAGTTGTCTCATTGTCAATTCTTTGAAGTTTGTTTCACAGCTGTGAAGTGTAAGTAGTATTTTCCTGCTGGGAAGAAGGAACATGTCAACCATTTCAGGTTCTCCGTGGCTTGGTCAATTGGAACCCAGGATACGAGCTCATGCTTTCTCTCGAAGTGAATCTAGTGAAAACATGTGAAAACCCTTCAGGGGAAAGGTGTACTATTTCACACGCATGGAGTGTTTGGGCGTGAGCAAGCTGGCTTGTCCGACATGCTCAGCGAAAAAGTAGGGCTTTAACCATGCTCATGGCCAAAGGTGAGGGTACCACCAGTCAGTGGACGTAAGAAAATACATATCAACATACACTGAGGCTTCAAGTTGTGCAAATAGTGTAGAAAGGAGACGGGGTGCACAGTACGTCAAAGTCGATCGAACATTAATATATATTAGATGTTCTTAGAACCCACTGTGGTGGGAACACTTTGAAAACCAAGCAAAACATTCATACATTGTTTTTGCAATTGTTTAATTGTTTCAAAGATTGTTTATAACATTGTTATATTGTTTAAAACATTGTTTATAACATT